TAAAAAACCGACCTCAAAAGTTGGTGGAATTACATCTATTTGCTAAGTTTTATTGACATTGATTACTGGAAAGTGCATGAAACCGAATTCATCCCCTAGTCTGCCACCCTTAGATGTGGAATATTTTCTTCAAATTTAAATGGACTAATACCAAGGTACCCTCCTTCCAACAGAAAAGAATCATAAAAAAAAAGAAAACATACTGACTCATCCGAAGAACAGAGTCCGATGCGATTACATAGCGAAAGAGAATAAGTACGCAACGAGAATAATTTCATTATTCAAACTAAGGCTTATATGTAAAGGAGTTTTGAGAATTTATATATCTTATTTCGTTTCGGAAATATAAAATCGAACAACGGTCGATCTGACATCCACAGCGAAGAAGAAGGAACGAAATGTACTATGTCCTGAGAACAAGTAGTCTTGCACATAGATCTTTGTTCTACGGATGAGTTGATACAGTCGAATTGAGAACCTCCTCCTTTTTTAGAAGTCGTTTAATAAATGTTTTGCCGTAATAAGAAACTTTAGACAGGTAACAATGATTTATTCATTAAACATTAATTATAACTACCACATTCGGTTTAGATTAGACAGCTGGCTATAAATCTTATTGTATCAGCAGCAACGATTTTGTATCGTAGATTTTTATCTATGCGGTTTCTTACTGAAACACTGTTTATAGTTACAAGTTTCTTACCACAAGATATGACTTTGACTTTTAATACAAGAAATAAAACAGTCACACAGTATAATCCGACTTTATTGTACGTAACGAGGTCTTCTTATACAATGATTTCAATTACTGTGGCAGTCAAAAAGTATGGTAAAGCAAAATAATGATTAAAAACTTGTAAATTCTGTTTTGCTAATTGGCTATTAAAAATACAAACAAAAGCTATAATTATTGAATTTATTTCACACGGGACAGATGTATTTCATAACGCTTACCTATATAGATTAGGAAAAGTAAACAACAATAGAAAAAAAAATTATATAACGGATTAAAAATTATCGAAAGCACACCCGAGCAAAAATGAAAATAAAAATTCAAATTAGATTCTAAATTACTGAATATGGTAAAGCAACACTATTGCAAACGGCTGTAAAAGCTTACCAATTGGGCTTCTGATACCCTTGGCTGACAAATATTTAGAAATATAAAATAGATATGATAATATTAAAGAATTTCACGTCGTACAATCTTATTAAATAATGATTATATAGATTAGGTAATGTAAACAGACAATAAAAAAAAACTTTATTTTATATCCATTGGCATCTATGACTGACCTACATATGACTATGGAAAACGACAGAATAAAATTTTTTAAAAGCACATATAAGCAAAAAGATAATTAAGATTCTAAAATACAAAATATAGTAAAATTACATTATTGCAAATGGCTGTAAACACTTACCAATTGGGCTTCTGACACCATTGGCTGACAAATATTTAAAAATATAAAATCAAAATGATAATATTATTAAAAGATTAAAAGAGTTTCAAGTCGTAGAGTCCTATTAAATAATGCCTGTATAGATAAGGTTAGGTAAACAGGCAATAAAAAAATAAATAGTTTATTTCATACGGTAGTACAATAAAAAAGGAAAATATTAAACAAGTATATCCCGTGCCATATATTATGACTGAGTTACATAAGGTCATTGAGTACAACAGGATAAAAATTATCAAAAGTACACCTGAGCAAAAATAATAAATATCGTATACATTGACTTACAAATAAATGGACGACTGGTCTAATACAAAAACCACGAAAAAAATGTCCCAAATCAACCTATTTAAACGTAGTGACAAGTAAAGGAACATGAAAAAGCTAAAACGTTGAATTTAAATTGTAATGTCGTCGCAGTACTGTCTAATTTTGCTTGCTTCGCTGTCAGTCGAATAAACGAAGACTAGAGCGTGAATGACGCTCTGTATACGATTGTAACGCCCTATAAGTTCGGACACTTTTTAGCGCGGACCCGACGTCCATATAATTGTAAGTCAATGATCGTATAGCAAAATTATTGCAAACGGCTATAAAAACCAAAATGAAAATATTATTTTTTTTTTTTGTAAAAAACAAGTGTCCATTTTACCTCCATCTCATTTGATGGAATGTGACGTTGAGATCGACGATGTAGCATGCACACCTAAATAATAACTATTCATTCACTCGCGCCTTGAAAAGGTCCAAGTTATAGCGTTCGGGGAACAAGAACGCAGACAGGAAATTCCACTTCCTAGTCGCTCGCCATATAATTGTGGAAGCGAAACGCTACACGCGAATCCTAGGAATATTCACTACATAGGGTTGAAACCCCACACCAGGGGTTCCCAAACTTATTTTGCCTACTGACCTCTTTGAGAATAAATTACTTTTTAGCGCCGCCATTTTTTCACCTAATTAAAAACCACTATAACTTCAAATTAAATTAATTATTGTCAACTATATTAGCGGAGATTAAACATTCATTCCAAAGGAGACTTTTACTATAACCCGCTAGAGTTAACTTGAGACCAGAGCGCAGTAGGTAGTACACAACGGCGCTCAGGTCTCAGGTTAACTCTTACGGGCTACACCTGCCAATGAGAATGATTATTGAAACGCAACTTTATAGTATTCAGACAGAGTATCTTTTATTCAAAATAAAACAAACACAACCGATTCTAATATAAAAACTAATGTGAATGAATCTGATGCTGTTTAATAAGTTTGTTGATATCAAGTTCCAATTTACTCAAGAACAGCCGCAAGTCACTACGTTCGGTAACACGCAAACGATTTCTCTTTTTAGTAAGCAGCGTTGTTACAGCACTAAAACTACGTTCACACAAATACGACGATGGGAATGCTATCAAGAATCATTGAATGATTGACCACAATCCAGTATACAATTGCGGGATCGGTTTTTCCAATAGTCTTGTATTTCCAAGTTCATATTAACCTGGTATCGTTTGATGAAGTCAATGTGGAGGTTTTCCAAATGTTGGCTGTAGGCAAACAAGTCGTCGTTACTGCAGGATACTGATAAATCCGGAAAATTGTGAAACTCACGTCTGCTCATATTCTTTTTGTACAGAAGCAGTTTGGCTGCAAAAGCAGCAATGACATTTTTTGTTTTAATTAAATTTAGTTCATCGCCTTGCAGTTGGAGATTCATGGTGTTGAACAATTTATACAGGTCTGTCATGTAAGGTATATCATTCTTTGATGTCATGAGCTTGTTGCGCAATTCTGTATCTTTACTTTCCAAGAACTCTGTCACAAAGTCAAAAGGTTTAACAAAAAGTCGGCAAAATATTATTAAATATTTTTATTATTATAATATTATGTCAGATCATATTCCGATTCGTACACCATTAAAATGTCGTCCAAAAACTGGGCAGGAGGTAAAATATTTGACTGATATCCACCCCAGCTTAGATACCAAATAATGGTCATAACATGTGCACAATAACCTACTGTTATTCGGCCCACAATGCAGTTACAGCAATATTGTTTTATTGCATTTCTACCAGCTCCGTTTGCATTTATTAAAATATAAACAAAATATATTTTACGACTAACATGTCGGTTTTGTATTTTTGCTCTTAAATGCATACAATTTTCTGCTGAGTTCAGACCTTCCAGTAAGTTGTTGCTCCTTTCTCGCAAACTTCTATAGTATAGGAACCATTAAACCTAATATGTTCACCTTAATATGAACGGGCTTTTTTGAGCTGGTATGTACGTTCCACAAGCAATTAAAATAAGTTCACTGTAGGTGAGTTGAGGAAAGCCAGTAATGGTTTCATTGTTTACATTTATATTAACATATATATATTCTTTTTGTGCAGAAGCAGTTTGGCTACGAAAGCAGCAACGACATTTTTTGTTTTAATTAAATTTAGTTCATCGCCTTGCAGTTGGAGGTTCATGGCGTTGAACAATTTATACAGGTCTTGCATGTAAGCTATATCATTCTTTGATGTAATGAGCTTGTTGCGCAATTCTGTATCTTTAGTTTCCAAGAACTCTATCACAAAGTCAAACAGGTTGTAAAATCGAATCAGACAATTGCCTCTTGATAGCCAACGAACTTCAGTATGAAACAACAAACGGTTGAAATCTTCATCATTAGTAACACAAAACTGATGAAATAACCTATAATTCAAAGAGCTGTTACGGATTTTGTTGACTGCTTTGATGACATATTGCAGTGATTGAAATAGTTGTTCACTTAAATTTCCAGCAACAAAAATAAAGAAAACAAAAATAAATATTACGTTGCTTATATAGGATTGCATAAGCAGCACGCACCGATAGGAATAAGATAAACATGCATAAACTCTTTTATCTCATTCGATGTTCAATCGCACTCAACAAGTAAGAACAAGTATTCTATGAACCAGCCGATTGATACAGGAATGCACAAATCGGGCTATTTAACAAAAACTTGTATAAACATGATTGCCCGCGGTCTATTATCTACGAAAATTACCTATCTAGAAATACTAACAACTATTAAAATGCGAAACTGTGTCTGTTACCTTTATGTTTGTTTGTTTGTGTCTACTTTCATTTCGAAACGGAGCGACCGGTTGACATGATTTTTATTTAACTACACGGAGGGAAACATCGAACCGAGTTACTTTGAGCAATCTCTTAATTAATATTATTTGATGTTCACAAGTTGTAGTCGATAGTCGAGAGCTCAGTTGGTGTCTAAGAGTCTTCCTACACGAAATTACAAATCTCCTAAGCTTCTACACAACGCCCCCATTAGCTGTCTGGGTCTCATATCGTCTCCCTTAGACCTGCAGCGCCCACTTTGGGAACGGCTGCCCCAGACCATGTCTAGTCCCCCTGTGATGAAAAGGGGAAGGCGGAATCAAATTATGCAATTTATAATAATAATATATTACAATAATAATCAAATGTAACAGGTACTCAAAATTAGGTGGATCGTTTGATTTTCTTGTAAAAATATGAGTATCAAAGGTCGCAGATTTTGTAAGCTTTTCAATTCTTGTACCAGTTTATCCGGCTATGTCATTTAGGTCATTATTAAAGTAACAATAGACTTCATTTTAAAAAGTTATTTCCCTTCATTGTTGTTGTATACCCACTGCCACTACTTCATTTTCAGGAAACTTACCACGTTTTGAAGGGCATTTTGCTACAATGAATAACAAAAATTAAATTCAAAGCCCATACTTGGTTTCTACATGTTGGGACGAGCGATGAAATGGCATTAAAATTATAACTTAATCGAATTAATATTCTCTTATCTATCTTTAAATTTATGATCGTGTTTTATATGTACTTAAACCTGTGTTATATTGATTTAGTTACATAATTAGTGTGCATAAAAAATACATAAACCAGCCCAGCAACAGCAACCAATGGCTAACGCATGATAGTCACGACGAGCGCGATATAATTGAAATAAGTGCGCGCTATTGGCTATCTAAATTAAATCTAATTGAAACAGCCAATAGCGCGCGCTTATTTCAATTTTATCGCGCGCGTCGCGACTATCATGCGTAGCCATGTTACGGGGGCAGTAGGAGTGTCTGACTGATGCACACTGTAGCAATTTTTAACTAAAAGAACACTTTATCTTAATGTCTTTAAGACTGTGGGTTATCTGAAATAGATACAATGTTAAAAAAAGTTACCGGAAACCGGATTCATCCTATAGTTTAGAGGAGGAATAATTGTTCAAATTTAAATGGGATTGAGGATCTTTCTAACTAAAAAAGAACAATCAAAATGAGATAATTCTGTGGTAATTCTGATATGGATTCCGCGCTATCGCAATTGCCTTATACAAGATAACACTCGTAGTGCATTCTAAATTAGCGCTTATGTGTTATGTTTACTTTAATTAAGATTAACGCCATTATGATTGCTAAATAAAATTGGTTTTACTGACATATTTACGAAATAGGTATAGTAAAAAAATAAATTACTTATATGTGGTAATATCTAAAGTACCAGCACATTTTTTTTTTTCAAATTTATAAATTCTAAGAAGAACGTTCAATAACAAAATGTCAAGACCTGTTTTACTTATAAAAAGCATTTCATTTTAAATTTCATACATAAATAAAATATAATTTGATTTAATAACAGTAGAGTTCCTTGTAATGCTGTGTGAGTGTGTGTTCGTTCGGGGAAGTAATGTGAGCATTACAGCTTTTGGTTTTGAATGGTAAGGGTGCTACTAAAATCACAGGCACATGGAACTTGCCAAATGGAAAAATGCTAAATTGTGTCTCAAGGTGATGGGCGCAGTGGCAGTGCCCCTAAAATCTTTGCGGTTTAAAGCTCTAAGTGGCACTGCAACTATTACAGACAGGCGTGTTACTTAACACCTGGAGAACGACTTGTTCGTTCTCTCAGTTGTTAAAGAAAAAAAATGCTGGAGACTTTACAGGGACGAGGCTTTATCATTTTTATGTCTCTGAATGATGAGTGTTGTGACGATCAAGGCTTTGAGTGGCACTGTAACTACATTCACTATACTTTCGTGCTTCTGCTGCCATACCTAACACTCACTATCATCGTTAGCGTTGGAACCAACACACCATTATGTACCTACCATTCGTGCCTTCTCAGATACAGATTGGCTGCGCATCTTGCGCATGTATGTTACGCGGTAACTCCTTTAAACTCCTTTAAAAAAATTTGTGAACCGATTTCCATGATTCTTTTTTTGTTGGAAAGGGGAACTTCCATAGTGGTCCCATTTCATTTTGAAGAAAATCATTCACCTCGAAGGGTGGCTGTTCACGCATGAAGATTCATTTTTATAAATAGCGCCTAGCTTTAATTTAGGAGCAATTACTTTAATGGTTGATTTTGCTATTTCTCCATTCAAGGCGTTCTTCTCTCAATATATTTTGAGTAGTAAGAACCGATTTTTATTATCTACAGTGTCAAGTCCTGTATAGTGGCTAACTAGGGGACATTTCAATAAAAATTAGCAAATAGACGTAATTCCACGTACTTATGAGGTCGGTTTTTTTAGTACTCTGTACTGATTTGTCATTGTTGTTACCTTTGTACTGACTTTTCGGCATTCGTCACCGCTTCTTGTTCAACAGTTTCTTTCAAATACTATTAAGTACTTCAGTTTTATCCACATTAACTTTCATTAGTTTCTTTTCGAACGATCCACGTGTTAAATCCATGATTTACTGCAATTTTTTAACAAATAATGCAAGTAACACTTAATTATCGCCCTTATACTAGTTTAATAAAATACGTTATGTTTCTCAGAATCGTCTCTAACTGTCGAATAAGTAATATAAAAATTTGTTGTTAAATAGCTTGAATAGGAATCGTTTATAAATTTTTGAAGGCTTCAGTTAATGGATCCAAAATAATGACATTAATTCTACAAACTCCTTGCTTTCATCTTTTATATCATCTGTTATTAAGTGTATTTTGTGCCCTCTTATAATACGCTTTTACTTTATACTTCTAAAATAACTGCCTCTGTGGCCGAACGTTTACCATAGTGGTATGCCACGCAGAGGTCCCAGGTTCGATTCCCGGGTCGGAAGAAATATTTGTATGGCCTACAGCTATTTCTCTCGTAAGTTTGGGCGTGATTTGTGGTTGTCTACCTATTTGTGTGTGTCCATGGCACCCGCGGTATAGGGTTTCCCTAGTACAAGACCATGAGTGCGTGCGTTAAAAAAAAGTGAAAAGACAAACGTGTACCGTCGTCTGTCACGTCGATGGCATCTACGAATACTATACTCTAACTACAAAAAATGCAAACTACCTCAATTTCTTTCAATACTCAATATTTTATGGCAAAACCATAATATATACTATAAGATTTTAATAACACAGAAGAGACCAATATTATGGACCCCGTCGGGCACGTAATACAAATGTAAAAAGAGAGAGAAGCAGACCAGCATAAAATAAAAAAAAATAAAAATCATACGTGTGGCTATCTAGTACTATCATTATACCCACAAAGTATTTTTTTTAATACACAATGATTTAGATTTTAGCCAGACGTATTTAAACAGATATCTATACTGTATTCACAAATTGAATACGCATCTTCAAATTAGATCTGTTTCATCATGATCAAATAGCACACTTTCAGCTGCTCTGTAATAAAAATAATTACGTAATTTACGTAGATGCTGTTGACATTCGTCGTCTAAAATCAAGTAGTATTTTGGTCAACCGTCTCGATACCTCCAATGAACACTACGTCAAGTTAGTTTTTGGACGTGTTCTGTTTTTATTTTGTTTCTTTTTCTTTATTTTTTTTTCACCAAATTCGTTTTGTTTTTTGTTTCTTTATTTATTTTATATAAAATTCTAGTAGCGTTATATTGGTGAATAATTATATTAGTTTAGAAAAATAACAGAAACTGACCAAAAATAAAATTGTCGTAGTGTTCATTGCTTCACTGATTTCGGTCTCTTTAGAAGTCACCATAATTTAATTTCTGCGGGTTTTAGATTTGTTAAAGAATGACTGATTCTCATTTTTAACGATTTATACGCAGGTTTTGTTACTTACCACTTCAGCTTTACTACTTTTTAATTCCTAAACAGATGTTAGGCAGAGTTAATACTAATTATAACCAAGATGTGCAAAAGAAAGTGGAACGAAGGAATAAATACCAAGCGTCAGGTTATATTTCCCGGAAAATGAAGCCATCTATCAAAAGGTGCAAAGTAGAGTATCTTGGTCAGGTGGTCAGGAACAATAGATACACGCTGCTACAGCTAGTAATGATGGGCAAAGTGCAGGGAAAGAGACGCCCTGGGCGAAGAAAGAAATCGTGGCTGCGGAACATCCGGGAGTAGACCAGCATTGCCTCCGTCGAACAGCTCTTTTGGTTGGCTGCTAATAGAGACAGATACAGGAAGCTCTCTAAGAAGAAAAAGAAGTCAGGTTATATCGGTTCAACGAATACGAATTTAGCAGCATTAGAGCTCCTCGTCAAAGCGTTCGTCCAGGAATGTACTGCCACCTTACTTGTTTCGGCCGCCAAGCCGTAATGTGAGCATTACTGCGTTCCTGTTTTGAAGGGTAAGGGTGCTGGTGAAATTACAGGCACATGGGACTTGTCAACTTACGTCTCAGGGTGACTAGTGTAGCTCTGACCCTCATATCTCTGTGATTTAAAGCTCTGAGTGGCACTATAATTATAATAATAAGTTTATTTCCTTCACGCACAGCTTAAACAATAATTTAAAATTATTATGTAAACAAAACGTTTGTTATAAACTAGGATATCCTGTGCTATGGTCTCCTGGCCTCCACCTACGGATAAAGTATTAATAATACATTGATTATGTCAAGAATGATTGATATGTGGGACAAGTAAGCAAAAATTAGTTAATACAAAGCAACATGTTAGAAAAAAACAATATAAAAACTAATAAAATTGAAAAATACAAAAATAGAGCGCAATAATGAAATTTGTGTGTGTGTGTGTGTGTGTGTGTGTGTGTGTGTGTGTGTGTGTGTGTGTGTGTGTGTGCGTGCGTGCGGGTGTACGCGTGCGTGTGTGTCAAGTCAAAGTCAAAGTCAAAGTTTATTCCATAGGTAAAATTTTTACACTAGAAAACGTCATTTTTTTTAAGCTGCTCCTCGTCCACTATGCTGACCTCCCTGAGAAGAAGGAGCAAGAAACTCTAGGATTGCTCTTTAATCAAATAAACTTAAATGCTATGGAATACACTGTGAATCATAATTGTGTGGAATCTAGACTCTTGTTGTCTTTCCATACTTATTTATCTAGACCATACTCTTCAATTTTGTAATATGATTTATCAATTAAAATACTTTTAATGTAAGTTTTAAACTCAGAAAATGCTAATCTGAATATATTCACCGGAATCTTATTGTAAAAACGTATACAGTTTCACATAAAATAATCATTTACCTTAGTTAACCGAAATCGTGGTACCTTGTGCGCGTGCGTGTGTGTGTCTAATTGTATTTGCGTGTGTGCGTGTGTGAGTGCAACGGTTATGGATAAGCGTGTCGTTGACTACCAGGCCCACAACTTGTTCATCCTGGTGCTTGGTATCATAGAAAAAAAATATTTCTTATACGACTTATATCTAGTACCATTGTAAGAAAATCTATTTTCAGAAAAATAAAGTTATTAGTACGACCATGTTAAATAATAGCCTATACATGGTCCCACTGCTCTCATGACTTGAGGGCTTGGGTTGTAGTTTCCACGCGGGTCCAATGCGGGAACTTCACCTACAGCATTAAATTGGTTTGCGGAATGTGTGCAGATTTCATCGTGATATTTTTCTTTACCAAAAAGCTCCTAGTAAATTTCGCACACAAATTCCGCAAAACTCAGAGGTACGAGAGTCCGGATTCGAACCCACAACCCGATAAGTCGAACCTTAATGCTACCACGCCATATCATGTTACCAACTCCGTAATAAAAACATGAATGTTCTATAAGAAAACGTCAAAATACGTGACCAAAACCGAGTTCACAAAGTTTATTTTATTATTAGACGTTAAAGTATGATATTACCGTTCCCAAGTTCAGGCAAACTTTAGATTAAAAACCTTTTTTCAAATGAAATCTTAAGGCTTAAAACTTTACTAATATTCATTTGTTTTCGTTTTGGTTAAATGAACCTTTCCCTTTGTAATAATCGAAGAGTTTCACCAATATAATACAAATACATCGATGGTTTTCTAAAATAGTGGGCTATATCAAAATCGACAAATTCGTCAGGAAGTAAAAACTAACTAAGCCACGGAACGAACCAACGGACCTAGTACAAAGACACGACGCAAGCACATAGAAAAATTCGTGAAGTCCGTTGGTTCGTTCCGTGGCTTAGTTGGTATAGCGTCTGCCACGGTATGCAAGAAGACGTCGGTTCGAATCCGACCGGATCGAAGGAATTTTTTCTGAGTGTTTTTCTGAGTGTTCGATCTTGGTATTAATAATTATAACAAACTAGTGGAGTAATTTCACAAAAAATAATTGAATATCAAATGAATTAAAATTTAATTAAGTACAAACTACTTAAGCAAATTTGATGTCCATAGTCGACGAATCATACACCGGTCCATGTTGTCACTTGTTTATTTTGACCAATAAAGAGCTCGTTATTTTCTAACCGACTTCAAAAAAAGCCAATTCGACTATATGTTTTTCTTACGTTACACGACATGAAACTCGTATTTTAAAGCACAAAGTTACTAAAATGCAAAAAATGGTTTGTATATACAAATTTTGTAGGTCGTTTTCACAGCACATTTCCTTCATATTCACATAATGGCGTTTACCTATTCGTAAAGTAATGCAACCAAATTAATACCCGTGATAAGAAATTTAAATAAATAGAAAGTTTTGTCATCTCCAGAATAATCACTATAAGATAGTAAGGTCAAACTTGCAGAAACCTTTTTAAGAAATACAATATAATGACCATGTACTCACAATATATTTATGATATAATAGTTTATGCGCGTCAAAACTTGGCTACTTATGAGCGACGTACGGACGGAGGCCGAGCGTTACGAAACGCGGGAACACTAAAATCCGTTGCCCACCGTACCGAGCATGCAACTAGACATCCGCGGGTAATATGTCCCCGATTCTACGAACATCTACCCACAGACCTGAAAAGTGTTAGAAACGATGAAACGTTTTGCACCCGACTAAAAAACCTTTTATTGGATATTGAGTTGTACAGTGTCGATGAGTTTCTTTTGAAACAATTTTAATTTTATTTTATTCGACAAGCAGTAGTTATACTACTTTATTTTATATTCATTATTATTATTATAATTTTATTACTGACAATCATAGTTATCCCTTGACATTGTATTTCCAATTGCAATATTGTGACATTGATAACATGAAATAAACGATTCTATTCTATTCTATTCTATTCTAAGGCATCGATATGTGAGCCGATTTGATGTTTCTTTTTTGTTTGAAAGAGGGTGCCTCAGTAGTGGTTCTATTTATATTTGAAGAAAATATTCCGCCTCTAAGTTTGGTAAACTAAGGGATGAATCCTGTTTCGCGCACTTTCCGGTAACCGATTTCAATAAAACTTTTCAAATAGATGTAATTCCACGTACTTTTGAGGTCGGTTCTTTTAGTACTCTGTACTTACTGAGATCTAGTGTTATACTTGTTTCTTATATTAATTTTAAATTCAGTTGTAAAATATAGCGCCCAAATATTTCGAATAACCCATTGCAATGTCAAACTTCAATCCGTATTACATGCTGTTACTCTCTTGAACATACAATATTACATCCTATTATTTACGTTATTTATGATTTTTACTTACCGGCCCACCACTCTTCTGTGCCTCGTTCAACTAATTCCATCACGGCAAGAGTGGAAAAACAAAATGTTAGTAACATTTAAAATAGTCTCTTTCGTTTTTCTTCTAGAAAAATTATTCAGTTAGACAACACGTGAGAATATAATGTTTCGTTAATTCCTACGTATATGCTTGTATACAATAGGAAGTCAACCTACACTTGAATTACCATTACGCACCTACATAATTGGAAAGGTAATCAATTTCAAATTTCATACTTATACGCACCAACATGAATATAATGTAATTTAGTAGCAGTAGAGCACCTTATCTATCTCTGCCGCCAAGCAGTGTAAGGATAATGCATAATGTAAGAATTACTGTGTTGCGGTTTTGAAGTGTAAGGGTGCTGGTGAAATTACAATCACATGGGACTTGTCAACTTATGTCTCAGGGTAACGGTAACAGGGTAACTGTTACGGACTGTGTGTACTTACCACCGTACTCAACACCAGGCGCATTCTGTCATTTGATATTATTAGAAAAAAAAATCATTTCATATTTATACACATCTACATTACTTGGAAGGGCACACATATACGCACCTACACGTAAGACAGTAATCTTTCAATTATACGCGCCTACACAAGTAGGATGGTAACCTACTGTCATACTTTTGTGCTTGTTTATTGTACTCCCATTGCTTTCTATAGTAATGAAAGTGTGTATAGCTACTACCACTTTCTATATATGTATGCTCCACTAAAAATGCAATTAATGGATTTTACGGGAACTTGAAACCGCATCGTGAGATGCAGGAATATCATCCATACGACGGCAAAATCTTCCTTCTCCAATCCACTCTAATAAAACGTATGTGATTGCATCTTTGATGATGTACCTAAGTCACTGTCTACAGTATCCGAATGGATACCAAAATGGGGTTACTACTGAGTCCATGTATCCAAGAGGATATAACAACTAGGTATAGGGAATTACATACATTTTATGAGTGGCTTGGAGAAGAAAGATTTTGCCGTCGTATGGATGAAAATTCCTGTATCTCACGAACCTGCTTCAAAGTTGCAAAGTCCACTTTACATATATCATTTTTTTTTTTATATTAACTGAACTCAATAAAACACATACCTATAGTATAGGATATATAGATTTCAAATGGCTTTAACGTCGTTGGTGAAAAAATAAATTCTAAAATAAAGCCAGTGCCGCAATAGACCAGATTCTGTGCGGGAAAATTTTTAATTCCAGCTAAGGTGGTATCGATTCTTAAGAAACTAAATTGCTGATCAAAAGAGATAAAAAATAACATACGCATAATAATTTCCAAGGTAGTTTTAGTAAGGCAACACCTATCGTTAGAGAATGAATGAATTCTATATCTGCCGCGCTATTAAGACTCAACTGCCATTGCAACTGGATTTTTTTTTATTTTATTTTTTTTTTTTTATTGCGACTCGACAAAATGACTGCACCGCGCCTGATGGAAAGTGCGAATACAGTCCAGAGATGAGAGTAACGGATGGAAAACACAAATATCTTCACTCCGTCACTATCATTTTGCCGGTCTGGCCAAATGCACTGGATGTACACCAACTGATCCCTGAACGCGATTCGCAAAAGCGTTTCACTGTGGAGGGTTTTCCGCCGTGTGTACTGTGGTCGCTATCCAGTCGGCACAGAGCCTACCACAATGCTAAGCAGATGGACACTGACGTGACGCCCTCGGTCGCCTCTTACGACCCCCACGGGCATGTATGGGGAGGCGACAATGTATTCTTAAGCCGTCGCCCCACGGCTAAAATATTATATATATTAGGATATTAGCAGAATGACAAATATTATCTTAACTGCAGTGCAATCTCAGTGGAGTCCCAATGGAATAACAATGATCAGTGGTTTCAAGAAAATAAAGAGCCTTGGAGCCTAGAACGAATCTGTTCTTACGTCGATGGCGATAGCTGAATGACTCCAATAACAAAACCGAAACGCGAGCACCAACCTCAAACCAATCCGACTTTGATGATATGTTTAGTAACTTCTTTATCTAAATGCAACATAAAAGAAGATAATGATTGAAATAAATTTCTTACCATTGGCGATGATATAAATGCTAAAGCGCCGAAAGCAAGAGTAGTGTTCATTAAAACATCATTCATTTTCTTTAGCAATCGGATCAATATTATTGTTTACTTTATATTTGTGAATCTCTTCGGTAATTCATGAGTCGGAAGATTCAATTACGAATCAATGCACTCAGTGTCGATAAATTTTATAATACCAATAACGTGCTTCATGTCAAATTATAGCATGAAATTAAAATTCGATATCTGTGGATTTTTCTGATTGATCAACGAAGTTAGTTTATTGTTGTGTACTTGTGCATCGAGTAATGGGATATAATTTTTATATTTCGATATGTACGCTACGTCGATTAAAATGTCATGACATGGGAATAAAACATTTATATAAGATTGTAATAATGTATCAGGTAGCCAAACTTATTACTTGGTTTCAAACTAGTGGATTCCCTGAACTATAACCACCAAAGCCACTAAATTTACTCCAGGGCACTACCCAAAACACGTAGATCAGGACTAGTTTAGAATAAGTCATTATCCCAAATTCTTCCTGTCGGTAATCGAACCCGGGGTTTTCCCATCCAGGCAAACCGTTGCCACATAAATATTATATAATAATAATAATAACGTACATACTCGACATAGCCCCGCACTACGGAAGCCCTGTGTCCCGGGTGCCATGGACACATACATAGACAACCACAAATTACACCCAAACTCACGAGAGAAATAAATATAGACCATACAAATGTTTCTCCCAGCCCGAGAATCGAACCTGAGACCTCTGCGTGGCAGTCCTACATGGTAACCGTGCGGCCATGGAGGCAGTCAATATATGAAATATATATTGAAATAATTCAAAATATACATAATTATATATTATGTCGGAGCCAGTTATCACTTCAAATATAATGACGACAACAGGGTGAAGTTGCACAGGGGGTGGCGCTGGTGTCAGTCATCTCACGTAGTCCTATGATATGATAATCGTTGGCAGAGGGTTGCCATAAGAAAATAAAGAGAAAAGTTGACTTTTTGTGAGAGTTACTTGGAAAGTGAACAAACAAGCGCGGCCGTCCCCAGAGAATTTACCGCGAGACATTTAAAATCTGTTTAAAGACCTGATCCAACTTTCATATTTTCTAACAAATTTCTATGAAAAGCGGGTAAACGAATGAATGACCAAATAAACCTAAATTATCGAAAAATTTCTGACCAATGTTAAGCACCAGTACTTCTTATTAACGATGAAGGAAAATGTAGTAATGAATCCTATATGTTAAAGAGGGCCATAACCCTAATAAAAAGTAAATCCCAAACTTGTATTTGTCGGGGTAACTTCAGCCTAAATCCTCGATCGTATACAATGTAAGTAACATAATAATGGGTAAGGAAATGAAGTTTCAAAACGTCATTGTGATTTAATTAATTTAGTAGCAGAAGAGCTCCTTGTGAATGAGTTCGTCCGGTAAAGAACTGCCGTCATACCTGTAAAAATTCCATATAGTTCAAATATGAATAAACATTTTTTACGCACGTTCAGCATGGTAACCGTTCGGCCACGAATGCAGTTAAATTTAAATTATATCAAATATTTCACATGTAAGTAAATTACACTCGAAATCATCACATGAATAATCTCATGTGTAAGGAAATTTTCCCTCTTTGCAATTAAACATTATGTATATTTATATCAGTTATAATAATATTTTATATATAATAACGTAGAAATGAGACAATCCTAAACAATGGCTTTTCGTTATCCAAGTATGCAGAAGTTGTATAATTAAAACCATTAACAATGAAATTTTTGTATCACTGTACTTTTAAACTTGTCGCACATTTTGAATACTAACCAGAATGTTATTGTAGAAGTGTATTGTCTCTGAATCTATGACTTTGTCCAGACAACAGTCAGCTTATTTTTGTTCCTTGTTTCATTATTATGTCTATCATTAAGGTAAATAACTGTTTTATGGGGAACTGTATACGTTTTTACAATAAGATTCCGGAGCATATATTAAGTTTATCATTTCCTAAGTTTAAAAACTACATTGAAAATATTTTGATCGAAAAATCATATTACAAAATTGAAGACTACGTGTTAGATAAAGATATATGGAAAGATGACACGGCTCCAGAATCCACACAAATTTGACTCAAAGTGTTTTCCATAGCATTTAAGTTTATTTGAAAAGAGCAATCCCTAGAGTTTCTTGCTCGTTCTTCTCAGGTAGGTCAGCGTAGTGAACGAGCAGTAGCTTAAATGTGTGGCGTTCTCAAGTGTAAATTTATTTTACCTATGGAATAAATAATCTTTGACTTTGACTTTGACTACATTTCATGAAAAAAAAACCTGTTCGTCATAAACAACATTTTCATAAATAGGTACACTGTGATGCCAGTGTAAGAATGTCATTTTCTAAAACTTCTTTTGCTTTACTAAAGTAAAGCAACCTAGCTATTTTTTCGACTGAACGTTTTCGTATTTTTTTAATCACACTACTGTAATAGATTTAGAGAAACTTTTTTCTTAGATAATCTACATACAGTCAACCATACTATGGGCAGGTGAGCTCAGGGTGTATAGGAAACAGAGAGCCATCGCCACCCCTACAGTTTTTATTTATATTATAATTTCCGTTCCGTCTTTGAAAAGGGTGGTAATAAAATTACAGGCACATGGGACTTTTCAACTTTAAGTTCAGGGTTAGAGTACAGGAACTGCATCCGTTATAGATTAACCATGGAACCTGTAAAGAGCTCGAAACGTTGATTTGTTTGAAGAAAACCAATATACGCGATTTACATCCGAAAAAATATAGTTTGATGATTTCATTTTTCAGCCATTATTGTCCCTTTGCGGGGCAAAGGTTTCCCTTATTTTTTTCTTCTCAACGCGATTTAGCGTCGCTACATGCCAAGTTTTCATATATGCTTTCTTGTCCAACAACGTCACGCTATAAATAATTCATATTTTATTTTTATTTTAAAAGGCTTGCCGACCACGTTTCTCAAGTCACCCGTCCATCTTACCGCAAGGCAAGATTCTAGTTGCAATGAAATTACAAATCACGATACAGGGATTGCAGTGTTTTGGTTTGACGTGATAGAGTTGCCCAACTCGGTATTGCTACTTAGTGGCTGCCACAAAATGGCCGACGGCGGTGCGGCAAGCCGAGATTGAGATAGCGGGACGGCCTAGACGGGTTGAGTGACTGGCCGGAGATTACTGCGGATACTGTGAGTTGGAATTCCGAGGGAGTGACCTTTTTATCAGGCAGTGGGACAAAATCTTCTATAAACGTCGCTTCATTCGTAGTGACAGACATATATTTAGATAGGCGCCGCAAGTACAGCAATTTGTATGAAAACTATGACGTCACAAGAACTATTTAGTGTTGAGAAACCTCCTTCCCCTCTAAATCGATTGATTGAATAGAACACGCGTAAATACGCGTATTCCATTCAATTAATCGATTCTAAATAGAATAATATTTGTTCAAGTATTTGTTCATTACAAGTCCTAGTCGTAATATTAATATAGTAGAAAAATACTAGAATAAAATATTTAAGTCCTTTATTTTGTTCCCTAGTTTTAAAAAAATGTTGATTTCTTAAAAAAGTTAAGACTTTAATTTTTAATCGACTTCAAATATTAAAATTATTGTCCTTCCAATAAATGAGCTTATTATTTAAATCATACTCAAGTCCTGACTTAAGCATTGCGTAGAGTTCTGGAATAAGACCCTAAATGCATTTCACTTACATTGGGCACGCGAAGTACGTACACTCACACACGTCTATCTAGATAATAGGGGTTAAAGTATGAAATTGCCGATTTGTACTGAAAAT